CTGCTGAGTGTGGGCGTGTGAGCCATGCTCAGATTAGCAGCACTCTCACTACAGCTCTTTTCTTTATGGCCCCTAGAGGCTAAGTACAGACAGTCAAAAAACCTGAGGCTGAATTGATTTAATCTTCGCAGGTTTGTCTAAGCAAGTAGATTGAACGGGTAAGCAAGTAGATGGACATTCACTTTTGATTCCACAAATGCAACAACATGCCTGCAGTGGCTCAGGCCAGAAACTGAGAGGGGGGCACACCTCTCTGCTCGACTGGAGCAGACAGCTTGGGCCAAAGCTAGCCTGCTCACCCTGTCGGGGTGGGGGAGGGTGGTTTGTGGGGAAGGTGGAAAGTATCCTGTGATACTGGGGACTATGAGTTAACTTGATGCTGGAGGGGATGTGGGACAAAAGTTCAAAAAACCAATTTAACTTAATCGGGTAAGTCTGATACTACATCCATCTAGTTTTATTTTAAACCTGGGGTAAGCCACTTTGAAAGTGGTTTATGTGCACTGAACTTTTTTGTATTACAGGTTTGAACCGGTTTCTGGTCACTTATACTGGTTTATGTGTAATTTTGTCCCTAGCCAGAGAGACTGAACCTGTGAGTCCTTGGGAAGAGGACATTGTCCCCCCATCTCCCTCCATCCCCTATCATCTTCATAGATGTGGAGGTACATAGGTGGGTCTGGACCCCTAGACACACAAACCTAGATGCTTACAACCCCCCCCTACAACAACAGCAACAACAACAACAACAGAATGGCACCAAAACTTAAACATCTAGATAGGGCTTTTTGCCTGGGGCACGTCTAGATGCCCAGACTATTTAATCCTTAGGGGAGCTAGCAGTTGCTGCAGGGAGGTAGTGTGTCTACTAATTTCCTTGTATTTCTGAAACTCAAGTGCTGTGCTAGGTTATTTTAGTATAAACATGGATATTATGTATTTTGTAACTATTCCTTATGAATTTAATTTTAATTCAGCACTAATGTTTGTGCAATTAGCACCTGCTTTGATGTGTTTAGAGGG